ACATAAATTTTTAATAATAAAAAATTTCCGCGCTTTCAAGCGCGGATCAAAATGTAGTTATTTTATACATTTGACCACATGAAACAACACTTCTCCTTCCTTTCTCCAAGTTTTCGTTTTTTTTTCCCTTAAAATATCCTAATGACACTCAGTTGTAACATTCCTAACTCCACTAAAATTATTCGAGCAGCAAAAATAACATGGTAACTTGGTAGCACGAAAGGGAATGATTTGCCAATAATCTTTTGAAAAAGTGGTAAAATTTATACGTTGTGAAAAAGTGGCTTACTCGTGTAAAATATAAAAACGAATTTGTTAATGAAACAAAAAAAGCAAGAAGAAAACATGAAAACCGGAGAAAGTGGGAGGAACGTGTGACACTGACATACGCCGAGTTTATAGATAACTGATCGAGTGTGACTCATCTTATTCATTCTCCTTCATTTTTTTATATCTCATATTATTATACACTGATCATGTTTTCTATTTTTTGGGCATATTATAACGATCATGTTGCCGACAAAGAAAATAACAATCATGTTAACACTTAATTAAGGTTTACGTCGAGATTAACAAGATTATCATCAAGTCAAGGTGAAATAGAAAAGGACAGCAGAGAAAGAGGTGCCATCATTATACTATTAACCATTTTTTAATTATTAAATTGATTATTTTGCAGTTCGAGAGAGAGAGAGAGAGAGAAGAAGAAGAAGAAGAATGAGAAGACGAAAGAGAAAACAAGATTATATGACAGAGAGATAACCATGGAAACAGCTGTTATTGTCTGAGCCTAAACAACCATCTTCATATTCTTCTTTCTTTCTTTCAATCTAGATTTGGTGTTCGTAGAAGATCTATAATAATAAAGTTGCCTTTTCTCTCTACTTGGGGGCAAATAAATACACGTGTCCCCTTTTTGTTTGGGCCATTAATTTTTGTTTTGGTTTATGGACTTTGATTTTAGATCGTTCATAATCGTAGCCCATTGTTTTGGTTAGGTTCCTAAGTCGTCGTCTTCTCAATTTTCTTTCTCCCTCCTCCGATCTCCTTCATATCATCCTCAGAGACTAGCAAGATTTTTCGGAAACGTTACAACTTACAACCTTTGGCATAAGCCCACTCTCAAGCATTCAATCCATCTCAATTACATCCCAAAATTAATCGAATTTACTGTAGAAATCATCCGTTTAAGTGTTTCTGGCGTTCCTAATTCTCATCTTGTAACAAAGATTCATGTCCTTTATATTATTTGGATCATGTATTAACCCTTAAAGCCAATCTACTTCCGAGTATCATTCTCTTTCTCTCTGTAATCTCCTTCGTGAGATAGAAGCGGGCAGGGGAATTTGATTTCTTGATGGAATTCAGTGATTACTTCGAGTGTCTCCACCATTCCAGAGAGGTACCCTACTACTTCCCTATTCTCCTCTTTCATGGTCTTCTTTTAATTGAAGATTTGATTTCCTGGTGACTGTTAGGCTATGGTGCAAGCCACTGTTTTGGGATGAGCCATACTAGATCACGGGGTAATTACAAAATCTGGTGTTGGATGTGGCAAAGTTTGTGTCTTAAAAATTCTAATTTCACACTTTTAATTTGTACTTTTAACAGAAAACGTGGGAGAGTGCAGTTCACGTTTGTTATGTGTCTCAGATCTCTTCTCTTCCTGATTCTAAACATACGGAAGGTCTGATCGTTGAGACTGAGCCCAAGCTATAGACAAACATAAATTTGAGGTTAAGGCTAACATAAGAGACCTATCTTCATCTGCAGAAGTGGCAACTCTCAAAGAAGCCACAAAAAAAACCTACAAAAATGTTTAACCATGAGATTAAGCAAATACGATATGCAATCAGATTCTTGATTATAGGTTATAGGGGTTTTAATAAACCTGCAAAGATATGTCTGTTTCTTTTGGTTGCTCTTATGGTGCATGTAGTTTCGAACAGAGCATGAGTTTCTTTCCTCGAGATAGAATCTTAACTTGATAGGAGAAGTGGGATTGCAGACACTGAATACACCAGTGAGATGCAATGGTTTGTGAGTAAGTTATGGGAATATCCAAGAAGGCCCTCTCCACTACTATGCTAACATCTCGATGCGTCCAGTTGTGCAAGCTAAGTTTAGCACCAAGATCAACAAGTTTCTTTCTTTCTTTTTCGTTTTATTATTCTGAGTTTAGCCAGTGAAGAGATATGATCAACTCATTCTATTTTCATTTGACTATATTTGATTGATGATTCAAAATTTTGTTGGTTCATAGGTGGAAATTTAAGAATTTGAGTGTGTTTCAGTAATTAACAAGGAAGTCGACTATGTGGTATCAAGACATGAACTTCTCTACAACCAGGGGCCGACCATATTGTAATGATACAAGTATACCAAGTTTAGCATCTACAGAGCAAGAAGCCCTAACAAACAACCATGGGGCTGTTAAGTCATAAAATTCAGAGAGAGGGTCCGAGCGAGCTGACGAGAACGAAATCTGAAACCAGAATTGCAAAAAGGATTAGTGAGTTTGAAGAAATAATATGTAAATATGGTCAAATTTAAGAAGATTGAATCAGCTTTAATGGAGGTGAGTGGTAGTTTGATGGAGAAAGAGATGGAGTTGCGGAGACTGAAAAGTGAAATAGAGAATAAAGTAGAAACATCAAATGCAGAAGCCATAGAGGCTGAGTTAAAGTTCAGTTTGAGCAATGGAGGAAAGCGGCTGAGACAGAAACTTCTCATTACATTCTACTTTGGTCGGCGAAGTGAGACTTCAGTCTAGAAGGGTAAGCCCGATCTCGGGATAATACATTAACAAGTTTGTATATATTTGTAGCTAATCTTAATATAATCCTTATTCAACATATAATGTGTTCTTTTAAGCAAGTTGATTGTCGGTATAGAGCTTGGAAACTAACTGACGCTAGGACCATTGTAGATGGATCAAAGATCTTCTTTTTTTTTATTGTTGAGTCAACAAAATAATTTGTTGTCTTTTTAAAAAAATTACAAGTTATCTACAGATAATGGAAGAATCGCGTAGATTTGGTGCTGATGTCATCACTGGCTTGAGAGTCTTGCAACAATGGTATGTATACTCCTATTTTTTTCAAGCGTGAGACTGATGAAGTCATATGATTTAGTTGTTCAGGTCTTTGTTACTTCTTTTGTTGCATCCAGTTCTCGCCTTTTGGTGTATACCATTGAATTTACATGCTAAAGAGATTTCAGAATGATGTGAAATGTATGATGAGTATGGTAATCTGACGAATTACTCTGTTTTAACAAACCAAGCTGACACCAGACATGACGTTGGTGCTGGTGTGTTGTGTGGGAAGTCAAAGAAATAGATAATTTTGTTTAACTTCAACTCACATAACTTCTCTATGCAAGGAATGTGTCACAAAATTTAAGTTTCAGAATAGAAACTTACCAATAGAAACTTACCGCTATGAAACAAATTTTTTTGCTTGATAGATAGTTAAAACAGTCCTCACATTTTTATAATAATTATCTAGAGGACACTTCGAGTAAATTAAACATATTTGCAGGGATTTTGCTACAAATTGCACATTAAATATGAGGCTAAGAATAAGATGTCAAATATGGAAAGGTTATGCTAAGGTTTTAAACTTAGTGATGTAGTTATGCCCCAGCCGAGTAAAAGACTATTGCTTGCTGCTTCTCACAAAAAGTTATGGTTCAGTGTGTTTACTTGGTGTTCACGATTTGTATCTATGTGGCATGTGACGGTCGAGATAGAAGCGAGTGGAGCACAGACTTGCACATGGACTTTTGAGATAATCTTAGAGATCATCACCACAATAAGAATATACGCATAAGCAGAGAGAGAGAAAGAGAAAAGAATCATGACTATGACCATGAACGGGCAGAGACGGAGACAAATTACCATTGTGAAGCAGCTACCGTAACGAAGAGAAATATATAGTTGTTAGCGCTTTATTATTAAAGATTCCATCTTTTAAATATCACATAAGTAACAAATCCAAATTTTTGAGTTTAAGATTCTCTTTATGCACATAGAAAATTAATGGGTATGTGTATAAAATTAAAGTAAGAACTTTGTGGAAATTATATTGTCAAACGATATAAAATATACTTTAATATATTTTTATATCGATTATGAAAATAGTATACTTCCAATTACCTTTTCTATTATTATATTAATAAAATATTGTTTCAAGAGCACAAAATCATAAATACTATTATAAAACTATTTTTTAAAATTTAAATAGTATTAAAGGAAAATATTCAACTCTTAGCAAAAAAACAAGACGTCCACTATGAATCAAACCCAAAAAGTACAACAGTCAACTTATTATAACATTAACACCTGATTAGCCAACAAGCCTAAGCAACTACGAAGATGATTCACCCACCAGCAGCGCCAATTCGTAGCCAATCTAAGGATAAACAAACGTCCACCTACTTATTACATGAAAAAAAAAATCATGAAGTGTTGTAACTAGAAGCATATAAGTGGTGATTCCTATCTGCCATTTAGAGAAAATGGAAAAAAATATATCAGTGATACAATTGCTGTTCTTCTATTTTATTACTACATCAAATTCGGACCAAATAACACAAAATAGCGTTAAATGAGATGAAACATCCAAAATACCACCAAAAGTGTACACAAATGGTGAAGAAATGCCGAAATACAAGTTCTGTAAATACTAATTTAATTATTTACACCTTCATTTGATAGTTTCACAATAAAAAGTTCCAAACCTGCTGAGAATTTCACATTCTTTGACAAACACAAAAACTCACCCAATCACCATTTTTTTTAAAGCAAATTAAAGAATCACAGAAAATGTGCATTTTAAATATATTCTCAAACTCCCCACACAAAAGTACTAAATACACATAAACCATTTAGTTCAAATGCCAAGTCAATACACAACCCCCAATCTCACATAGAAATACAAATCCTCTTACCCGATTTACACCATATATATACAATTACATGATAGAATGATATTTTTACACATAAAAAAACATACACAACACAACCCACAAAAATAAGCAACATTCCGCGCGAAGCGCGGACAAACCACTAGTGATGGATAAACGTTTGGATTCAATGAATCAGGTGGCGGAAGAGATCATGAGGATCCACAGATCCTTACCACCAAGACCAGACATCGACGATGTCGAAGCTGCAACTTCTCTGATACAGAACGTTGAGAAAGACGATCAGAATCGCTTGGAGGCCATTGATAGACAGATGAAAAGCTCCGAGGTTCCTCAGGAGCTTTTCAACGTGTTGCAGGAGATGAAGAGAGGTCTCGTTCGTTTCCAGAGCAAAGAACAGAAGAGGGAAGCTACCAAAGTTCTCGATCTCGAATCTGCGCACGTCTTGTTCGACGAATTGATTCAGAGAGCTTCTAATTGTATTGCTTCTCCGCCTTCCTCCACCGCTGTGTCGAAACCTGCGCCGGTTGTTTCTCCGGCGATTTTGTATTATTCTGATAAAGCTCCTGTCAAGTCCAAGGAGATGGTAACCCGCGACGATACATTTGTGACCAAGGTCAAAGCTTCTCTCTATAGTGACGGTTTGTTAGCTCCTCGCAAGCCTCAGACTTTGGATTCAACATTTGAGGCTAAGAGACTCACCGGTGAGTTCGATTTGATCGAACCCTTGAGCTGTTATTAGAGATAGAATCTCATACTATTGTTATGTTTATGTGTAGGCCGTGATGGGGAGAAGTTGAGTCTCATAAAGCTTGCCACTTTGATTGAAGTATCTGCCAAGAAAGGTACTCAGGAGCTGAATCTGCAGCACAAGCTGATGGATCAGGTCGAATGGCTTCCAGATTCTATAGGCAAGTTATTGAGTCTAGTTAGGCTTGATCTGTCTGAGAATTGCATTACGGCGTTGCCAGCAACCATAGGAGGGCTTTTGTCCTTGACGAAGCTGGATTTGCATTCGAATAGAATCGGTCAGCTTCCTGAGTCTATAGGAGATTTGCTGAACTTGGTCAACCTGAATCTTAGTGGAAACCAGTTAACGTCTCTACCATCATCACTGAGTAGATTGATCAATCTCGAGGAGCTTGATTTGAGCTCTAACGGCCTCTCTGTTCTTCCCGAATCCATCGGTTCTTTAGTGAGCCTCAAGAAGCTCGATGTTGAAACAAACAATATCGAAGAGATTCCACATAGTATCTCAGGTTGTTCTTCCCTGAAAGAGCTCCGTGCAGATTACAACAGGCTTAAGGCTCTTCCAGAAGCTGTTGGGAAGATAACTACCTTAGAGATTCTGTCTGTTCGTTACAATAATATTCGGACGTTACCTACAACAATGTCTTCCATGGCTAACCTCAAAGAGGTAGATGTGAGTTTCAACGAACTCGAGTCAGTACCAGAGAGCTTATGTTATGCTACAACGCTTGTTAAGCTCAACATTGGGAACAACTTTGCCAACCTGAGATCACTCCCTGGGTTAATAGGCAACCTTGTGAAGCTGGAAGAGCTTGATATGAGCAATAACCAGATCCGTTACCTTCCTTACTCTTTCAAAGCGCTTACACAGCTGCGTGTTCTTAACACACAGCAAAATCCACTTGAAGAGCTTCCAAGGGATGTAATCCAAAAGGGCGCTCAGGTTATTTCTCATCTCTCAGTTTGATTTGTCTTTCACAATTCTAGTATGTGTCTGTCATGGATGATTGACTGTTCTTATTTACCATCCTCTCAGGCTGTGGTTCAATACATGAATGATCTTGTGGAGGCAAGAAGCACCAAGTCTCAAAGCACTAAACAGAAGAAGAGCTGGGTTGACAGTATCTGCTTCCTCTGCAAGTCCACCAACTAGTGAACACATGAAGATCCTTTAAACCACTCTTGACAACGTCTGACCTTTTATCATCAGGTAGATTTGTTTCTCACCGCTTCAAACACATGAAACCCCAAACAAAGAACCCAATGTACACTTGTATTCGTTCATACCTGACTGGTTCCTGAGGTAAATGTAATTCGATTTCGTTATCTCAAAGTGTTGTATTCTTGTTGTTCTTGATGTAATTCACTTCTTGTTTCCTTTTGGTGTGCCATACATTGATGCAATTTGAGATCATGACCGGAGTTGTGAATATGTTTAATTTCAGAATAACATCAAGATCTCATACACGATATAGTCATACGGTTCTTGTGTTTTGTTCCATCTTAACCACTTCAACCCTGCACTTCTGACGCATGAGAAGACATTCATTACATATCAATCACAACAAGATCTCCATTCAAAAAACAACAAACTTTGGATGCATTAACACAATCTCTTGTGTGTTTACCTGCAGTATATCTCCAACTCTTTTCTGAGTTCTTTCACCTTAGCCAGATAACTCCTAAAACATGAGAAGACATTACATGTCAACCAATATATTAGTGCCTTTTGCCTTGGTGAACTAAGGCGCTCGCTTTAAAGAGCAAACATTTTAGAAAACATGTTCAGAGGCGTGTTTCCTTAGAGTTTAAAATATCATAATTCAATCTATCAAATTATCCTATAACACAACAAAAAAAATTTTACCAAAAAAAGATCTAGTTGAAATAAGAGATCAAATACCAAAAAAGATCTAGTAAAATATTTTTACCAAAAAAATTTAGTTGAAATACTTAGGGATCAAATCCACATAAAGCAAATGCACATGATAGATTTGTATTATCCTAATGGTTAAGCTAAGTGATGTTTTAATAATGGTTATCGGGTTTAATTAAAAAGGAAATTATTTAACTTAAGTGAATACAAATATAGAAAATAGTTTGATCTAGGGTTTAGTCACATGTATTATAATGGGTAGAATGCATATTTATATTAATATGCTAGGACTAAATGGTCTCTTAATCCGAGAGATCTACCATCGATCAACAGTGTAATACTGGTATCGACCGATCGAAAGGTCGAACATGAACTATGACGAGTTTGATACACCACTAAATTGGTTCGACTATCTCTTGCATGCATATAACAACTTAGTTCAATAAAATTCGTTGAGGCACATAACTTACTCTTGCAGTTGTCTATGTCCTAGAATCAAGTTGTAGTTAGCTATTCTAGAACTCATACATTAAGAACAATCCTAAGTGATGGATATTAATTCCTTCTAATAGTTGTAGTTTGGGCTAATCCAGCGATACCATTAAGAATCCTAAATCTAAAAGGTGAAAGTACTCAGACATTGTCAATCAAAAAAAGATCAATAAACTGAATAGAATGCATATATAATAAACTATGGTTCCAATACAAAGCTATGAAAGAAGTTTTGATCTTCTCCCTTAAAACAATACTAGATTGTGACTCGCGCAACCGCGCGGGTGTTTGTTTTCGTTTATAGTTAGTAATATAAACATTTTCTTTTCACTTGTAAATTGATATATATTATAGTAATCACATATTTACGATATGTATAGTAAATGTTTTTCAAACATAATAATATTATATAATACGTGTTTTAATCAAATAGATTGTTTCAAATTTTCTAAATTATACCTGTTTTTTAAACATGTGTTTGTTTCTTTTTCTATATTTTATTGTTTGTTAGATTAGTATTTTAGATAAAGTAATATAAATAGAGCTTGATTAAATATTAGTATACTTTAATTTGCAAATATAATAAAAAAATTCAAAGAAATTTTTGCTAAAAACTAAAATTATAGCTTCATAAATTAATATCATAAAGAATTTTATTAAAAAGGAATTTTTTAAACAATTTCTTTTTTAAAACAATATAATTTTAATTAGTTACATCGAAATAAATTTATCTAATATATATAGCGTGTAAATTTTGTTAGGGTATATAAATATTCCATATTACGAATCTGTGATTTTTTTTAATATATTGTGGATGCATTTAAATATTATTGACATATTTCCTTATAAATAATAGAAGATTTTTAAACTTATATCTATTGACATATTTTGCGTGACTAAGTTGGAAGGTGTGAGGTAATTTACCAAAACCAAATTGTTAAGCGTATATTTGTTATTATAGATATGATTTTTCATAAGATATAATAATGATAAGATTATTAGAAAGTTAACGTAACATGACTTTCTAGTAATAATGCATTTTTAAAAAAATCACACATGAAGTCAAGTCATGACTTCTGTTTTAATATATAAGATGAGAGGATAGAAAACAAAAGCGCGATTCTTTGCCTAACAATGCCAGAAACCTTTATATAATTAGGTTAAAATCCGTTAAGGGTAATCTTGTAATTATATGTTGATTTGGGCTTTAAGTCAGTTCTGAAAAAAGTCGGCTTTGTGTGCCTCGTCCATCGATCGACACCAAGGTGTCTCTGTCGGCCGATGTTCATCTCTTATATCGACTCTGACTTAGCTGATTCTTGTCAGCTCTGAGTTTCTTCATTCAAAATGCACCATGTACTTAACATAACTTCAAAACGTACATGGACTTGTAAATACTCCAAAACATAGTATAGACAAACATAATAAACTTCAAATGAGGTCCATAACATGGTCTAAAACTGGTTAATATTAAGGTATATCAAGTCTCTACCTTTTGATTGTCCTCAAACAATGATAGCATGTGAAAGAGGTTATGAAAAGCAGGGACTCACATAATATCAACAATATTACTATCATTCCTACTACGCTGCAACCACATCGAACTATGCCAATTTCAAATAAACTTTATATACCTTATCCTAGCTTAACAACCAAATCAATTATACCAACAACTTAGCAAATACTAGCTTGACTCACCTTTTTACTGTCCTCATTTCTTGCATGAAAATAAAAGTGCAGCCTTTACCTTAGAAATATCAATCAAATGATACTTGCCCCTGCAAGTATCTGAACACACATACAGTCTTCTCTCATCTCTCTCTCTCTCTCTCTCTCTCTCTCTCTCTATATATATATATATATATATATATATATTCTCACTTCTCTCAGTCAATGTCTCTTTTTTAAAAGGTATCATTTTATTTTTTTAATTGACTGGAATATTTTGGACATGCTTCCATGAATCAAGCCCTAATAGTTTTTCTCACCAGGTCCTGTTTACTTCTTTTTGACATTTTCTCTTTCTAGAATTTATACGAATCAAGCTTTAATGATTGTAGCCACCAAATCATGTTCAAATTCTTTTTAATCTGAAAGGGAGAAAGAGAGGAACCAGAAGCACACAAACTTTAGCTTCCAGAATTGCAAAAGGAATCTGTTCTAGTGTATACCAAGCCCCAAAGCAACCAAATAATGTCAAAATTAGGTTGGAAGTCAGCTTCATTTCATTCAAACTTTCTAGGAAAATGTAGTCTAATGGCAGGATGATTCACTTTGGTATCTCTAGTAATCTCTGCAATCAACAATCTTAAGAATGATGCTTATAGTGTGGTTGGTTAATAGATTAAAGTTTGATCATAATTCCTTTCTTGACTCTATGAAAATAATGAGAAAAAATTAGGTATAATAGATAGATATAGTAGATTGATAAAACTCAAAATAAGTAAAAAGCATTAGAAAACCTCCCCCAAAATTAAATGACATTATCTCCAAGGTTATCTCGTCCTGGTTTGGTTTAGATAAAATAAATCATAAGGAAAAGTGTTAGGGAAAGTTGAGATTACTACTCCGAATGGAGTGTCAATCGATGGTGTGATGTTAATGTCGACTAATGGTAAATTATCCAAGCCGTCGACCAATGGTGAACTGATGTAGTCAACCGATGGTGATCTCGAATAGTCACGTCTCCTCTTTGAACCTTCAAATATATAAATAAAACGAAATGAAAACTATCATAAGTATAAATCAATTAAAAAATTACTAAATAGTAGGTTGCTTCCCACTCAACACTTGGTTATAGTCTTGAATTTGACGTTTAAGTCTCTTTTGGAATAAGATGGTGATGGAACACCATTTGTTGGAAAACAAACGTCCACATCTTCTTTACTCATTTGGAACCATATACTGATGAAGCTTCTGATAGCTTCTTTACCTTTGGTTCTCTTCTCTTTTCCAAGTGCCTCAATCATACTCATTATTTCCTCAGTGTTTTCACGAAACTGATTTTATTCTCTCTTCTCACTTCTCTCAGTCAGTGGTTCTCTTTTTTAAAAGGTATCATTTTATTTTTTCAATTGACTGGAATGTTTTGGACATGCGTCCATAAATCAAGCCTTAATAGTTTTTGTCACCAGGTCATGTTCACTTTGTTTTGACCTTTATCTTTTTCTAGAATTTATATGAATAAAGCCTTAATGGATGTAGCTACCAAATCTTGTTCGGATTCTTTTTAATCTGAAGAGGAGAAAGAAGGGAACTATAAGCACACAGACTTTAGCTTCTAGGATTTCAAGATGAATCATGTGGGAACCGAGATTCACACTTGTCGATTTCCGTTAAATAAGGAAACTTAGGAAAACCCTAATTTCCCAGAGGAACCGGATCTCTGCGAAAGCCAACGACAAGTAACCAAATAAATGAGGAAAAATATGAAAAACGCAATAAAACGAATTTATAAAGAAAGTCGATCTTATTTCCGATTCGCGTAAGAGCGTTGCGATCATTACAAGGAATTACAAAGGCTTTGGCCGCAGGGGCCATCAGCGAGTTACAAACATAAAACCCTAGATCTAGTCGAGTCGAAGCTCGATAACGAAAGACGGAAAAAGATAGGAAAAAAGGTTTGATTGATTTCGGACTGAACCTTATGAAAGGCTGCCTACGTACCCCTTTCGGGGATCAAGTCGAACGTAGTTCAGTTGATAGAGCTGGACCAGAGATCGAACTGCCTGGGCGAGTTCTTCTAGTAATTGAGCGCCAGTCATAGAAACCGAACTTGTCGAGAAAAAGCCTAAGTTTCTAAGTGCAGAAAATTCTAAGTCTAGAAAAGTTGTAAAAGTCTCAGATGAGAGCTCTGGATTTCGTCCCCTTGCTTCTGCCCTATGCCTCTTTCTTATATACTCCCTTCCTAGGCGGTTTAGTCTTTCCATTTCGCCCAGATTCGAGTTTAATGAGAATCTTCCATTTATCTCGATCTTTCTTTTTTTCCCGCGGAAATCTTCTATTTATCCTCAAACTTGACATTTATCTTCACGTTTGACATTTATCTTCTTTCTGCGAGTAAATCACCAAAAAGTCTTCGTATCTTTGGGTTGGACTTCGTTTAAAGTCGCGAGTGGCTTTTATCGCGTTTTATGACTTTCCGAGCCGTTTAGCGATAAATCAGTTTTACGACTTTAGACGAGATCGTTTCCTAATACGATGCCGTTTTTAGATAAGTTTCTCGAGTTAATCGTAACGCTAAGCAATGTTTGATGTTTCGATTAATCGTTGCCGTTTTCTACGATTTACTC